GGTACATAAAAATATATAAATTGTAATTTTATATATAGTAGTGTATAAATTTTTGCAAATTCTATTACATCTATTGGAGTTTAGAAATTGTAACACGTTTTCTTAACCCTTCGCTGCAAAATTGTTATGAACCCTATTTTTATTTCATTTATATTAACTTTTAGGCCAAAATAAGGGAAAAATATTCTATTTAGTATTTTAATAGTTTACGGTTATGAAATTTAGCATGAAATGCCTGTCTTTTCCTGCGTTGAAAGCAAATTCTTAGTAATACTTATTTGAAATTATTTGGAAAAAAATTTATTCATCTTTAAAATTTCTTTAATTTTCAAAATCAGTTATTGATACATTTTTTAATATGAATGAAAAAAAATTTCAAACTACTTTATTTTGGATCTTTACTTTAGTACAAGTATAATTCCGATAATCTGACAGATTTGTGTCTTGACTATTAGACTGTTTTTAAAATTAAAAAATAACCTGTAACTGGAAAATCAGGAAAAAAATATATAAAAGAGTCACTGGTGTCTCATCTGCGTCAAAGGGTTACATAAGTTTAATTTTTATCATTTAGAAAACATTTTTATTATTCTTCAGTCTTTCATTTAATTGATTGATTTTAGTAACTTCAAACTTATTTTTGTAAACTGAGCTTAAAGTTGCATAGAGAAAATTCTTTTACATATTTTTTCAAAAAAAATATTAATTATGATTAAAAATATTAAATGGCATTCATTTTTAATGGATGTTAAATTATCTAATTTTAAATTCCAAACACAAGTTTTAAAATTAAACGATCGAATATTTCTTATGAAACAAAATTTCTAAGACACATATAAATGTCTTGTTTTCAAATAGTTTAAAAAAACTTTTTTCAAAAATTTTAAACTAAAAGTGAATATTGTCACTTAAGTTAATAAAGTGGTAAATAATTGTGCTTCATTTCTTACCTTTGAGGGGTATAGATAATAATTAAAACATGGCTTTACAGAGATTCCTTTTTTAAATGGATTTACTAGAACTCTAGGATTATGAATGGATATTTGGAACACGGCTGGCGTTGCTGTGTAAAAAGTATCCTTCACTGATGTTTTAATTTTTATATTGACATCTAAAAAATATAGGATCATAATAAGCAAAAAATTAAAGTAAAGGATTGTCTCACTTCACTACTATCCTTAACAAACACATGTAGCAGATCTTCAATCATCCAAAATTAAAAGAGAAAGAAAGATGCAATAAGCGTTTTTTTTTTTTACACGATAGCTGAATGCACGTTCATCGTATGGGATGGACTAAAAAAAACAATTAGTAAGCGCTGAACAACTCTGGGAGGCATATGCTAAAACAATTGGAGATCTTAGTGGGAGAACCGGGTAAGTGACATTTTTATGGGTATTTATGAATCAGCGAAAATAACATAAAGCAGGTTGCTATCAATATGTTTAATGTAACGCGATTGTTTCTGCCTTCATTTTAATCTCAACATAACTAATTCAAATTGGGCACTGCTAAAGAAAATAAGAAAAAAGAATTATAAGATTCGCCAACTAATATTTAATCGGTAATAAAATATTTCTCAGATCACTTTTTTTCCACTTACGCTGCTTATAACCTCTCTGAAAATGTCACTTACCTGGCTTTTCCTCTAAGCTTTTCAATTATTAAAACCGAAATATTTTTTTTATTTATTTTTATTCGTTGCCCCCCTTGATGGCTTTATGTATTACATTAAGCAAAACAAGTTTTTTGTAGTCCATCCTTTTAGAATGGAGTTAAACTGTATTTAGCTTTAAAAAAAAGCGTTTTTACCACTCATTGTATAGAATTTTTCTTTTAATTCCTTATTTGTAAACATTATTAGTTTACTGTTATCACCCATTAAATAATGTAATTACAATATGGATTAAAAAATAAAAATTCTACGTAATACTTAAAAAAATACTTCGGCAAAAGGATTGAAGTTGAATAGAAAAATTCTTGAAATTCTCTTACGTTAACTGTTTTTATACTCTTTCTCTATTATACCATGTAATTGTAAGGGGAACAACACTAATGTATAATTTAATGTGAAAATAATATTTTTTTTAAAAAAAATACTTCGAATCGGTTGGTTCTCCGCATCACACAATTTATTGAATTTATGTATCTTTTTTTTACGATCGCAATTTATGTATTTTGTATCTTCATTTCTAATAATTAATCTTAATTGTTTTAAGTGTTTATTTCCATAGTCTTGTGATTTTAAATCCATTTAGGAGTTCAAGAAATTCCTGCATCAAATGTTGGGACGAACTCACCTTTCTGAAAGACTATATGAATTATTTTTAGAAAAAAGTAACTCTAATTTTTGTTACAGGGGATGAAAATCACAAAAAATTTCCTGTGGCCAACCTGGCCGTCGGAGAGCATTGACCCATGATTCTACTTTTAGGTGAGAGCTTCGGTTGATGCAAATCAAAAACAATACGAGAATTTGACATACATTATCGGGATTCAGATTTGAATGAAGCCCGAGCACTGATAAGTGGACAAATAAACACTTTAAGTGTTTGCTTTCATCTTCCTTAGACTAACATAAATTCACTAAGGTCTCAAATTGCATAGCTATTAGTGGTAAATAAATGAATAATTGAAATAATATGTTCAATAACGTATGCTTTTTTTCTTCAAATTTCTGAATAAAATTCTCACGTGAGCAGCAAAAGGCTAGAACAAACTGAGCTCTGTAATTTGGAACGAATGGAAATGTTTGTAAGGGAAGTCTTCCTACAGTATGCGATTTTGTGTGAATAAATACGAGGCAAACTGACGACACTATAACATTTAATATTACAAGTTAATATATAGTTAGAAGCATGATTGATTCCAGTTATTAAATACAATATTAATGAGGGAAAATATTTGCATCCATTATTACTTATGTAACCAAATATAATGAGAGTCAGGATTGAAATTATAATTGCGTTGTCTTAGCAACGCGCTGTTTACATTTATATTAAATGAAATTTTGAATCTTGTTATTTTACTGACCTAGCGCACCACATGTTGAAAGCGAATCTCTCATATCAGCATACAAAGTGTTTTAATCATGCTTATGCAGGTTCAATAATAATAATTTTATTGAAAAATGAGTCGTGCTACTGCTCGTTTCACTTTTTTTTTTCATTAAAAATATTACGAGGAATTAGTTTTAAAAATTTTAATAATTGATTTAAATTTTTAAGATTTTACACTAAATATAGTTTAACTTGGTTTAACTTAGTAACGAGTTAACTGAATAAGTTTTGCAAAGCAAACCATCTAAGATTTCATTTCATTGGATTCTTTGGGGATCGGAGACAGTGAGCGAAACAGGAGGCGTCATTTAAAAGGAGTATCTTCATACATATAAAGTTATACTCGAATCCAGTATCCAGTATGCAAGTATGAAGGCGTAATAATGCGGAAGTGGCTCAACAGCAAGCAGGGGGAGGACTCCCTAGTTTCAAATATTTTATACCATTCTTGACTAATCTATACTAATATGCTTCTAACAGCACAGCATAGGTGTCATTTTTTAGTAAATTTAATAATTCACAGCGTAATATAACTTTAAAAATAGATCATTTTAATATGTGATTTAGTTTTAGTATTGTTATCATAAAGCTTGCAATTAATCATTACTTACATGTCTTTGACGGAATCTTTTTAATTTTTGTTTGAACTTCTCCCACAAAACTGTTGATAGTGTAGCAGTTGTTTGGTAATCCCATAGAATCAAAGACATCCACTAAGATAGTCTTATTATTTCTACAATGAAAAGCTCCATCAATTACTTAAAATCACAAAGTTAAATAGATTCTATTTCAATATTTTAAAAAAAATTGAAGCTGATTTAAACATGTGCTAAAGGAAATGTACTGTAAATTCATTATTTCAAAAATATTTGCAAAATTATGGAAAAAGTATGCCTTTATCTAATGTTATATCAACATTTTTCACATAAATGTCAATAATTATATCACTTAAATATCAATGATAATAAGAAGAATGTTAATAGTCACATCACGTGATTATCAATAATTATATTACATGAATTTCAATATTATTAGTGAATAGATGTCAATAATCATAATAATATTAAAAACATATCGCATTAATGCATATAATCACAATTATCTTATGAATGTTAATAATCATATTAGATGACACTACTATAATCATTTCGCATGATTATCAGTAATCATATGGTAACAATATCTAGATAATTGCAGGCTGAATTTTAGAGTTAAACATAATACTAGTTAATGCATAACTGGTGAAGGGAAAAAAACAAGAAAACCATTTAAAGCAATATCTAATTAATCTCAACAGAAAAGTGCAATTAAATATGACCTTAAATTTTAAACCTGATACTAACAAGCGTTTTCCATTTTTCTCCGTTATTTTAACATTTAGAAATTATCACTATTACCGCTCTGAATTCATCTGCCAAATAATCTGATTTTGAATATTTTCATCTCTCTTTTTCATAGATTGGCTCTGAAACTAAATCGTCAAAGTTTGATAAAAAATTTGATTTTCTCACATAAATATTGATTTAAGAAAATCTAGCTCTTAACTTTCTTTTTAGAAGAATTCTAAATACTGTAAGCATATAATTAAGAGTCGAAAACAAAATATACCGCATACAAATGTGCAGCTGCGACACTATGTTAATTCATCCTAAACTAGTATTTTTACAGCTCGTAGCTATTTGCATTCAGTGTATGGAAAAAAAAAATAACCGGAACTTACCTTATTAATTTATTAATGAATCGCGCATGATTATGAGTTTCCACGCGTTTTGTACCTGCTTATTTTCGTTAAAAATCTTAAATTAATATATACATTTGTTTCGCTATAAAATTCAAAAGGCAATACTCCCAGGCATAGTGTCTCGTCGATTCAGCAACGCTCTATAAGAAGGAAGTAGTGGGTTCTAATTTCGTTGTCACCTTGAATGTGTCTTAGTGATGTCCTTCTCAAACTTCTGCGATCTGTAATCTTCAACTTGATAAGGGCTTATAAGCCGTCTTCTTAATAAGCACACAGGAATGCGTGTCTATACGTAACAATAAGTAAATGGAACAAAACGCAATTGGATGGAACAAAGACTTTCGACTTAAGAAAATAAGTTGCTATTTTTTTAGTGTAGTTGTCCCAAAAATAACACTAATGAGCTGATTCGCATTGTCTTAACAAATAATTCATACTGCAGTATGGGCGTTATTGTTTAGCTAAATTATTGATTATTGCATAATTACAATTCTGAATATTGCAAAAAAGAACTTGGAATCAAGCAAACTCAATTCGTATTATAAATGCAAGCTTATGTGACAACTGAAAAAATAAATAAATAAAAACAGAACAATAAATTGAAAAAAAACTAAAAGTGAAACTTACACACAAGAACGGGAGAATGTCGGAAAGATAATTTGGCATGATTCAATGAGATCTGTGTCCCGAGAACCAAAAGACCGAAAATATTCTCTGTTTTTCTGAGGTAATCCGTAAGGTGTGATGACTGGAAACTGCAATTCAATAAAACACTACTCAAGGTGTTCCTTAAAGACTTTCCTTAATACATATTTAGAATGTTCGTAAAAATAAATTTTAGAAAAAAATTGCAAATTATGAGTTTTAAATTCAAATTCAAACGAGACTGAACAAAAAGTATTCAAAATCTGAACACTTTCGACATCAAAAAGAGAAAAGGATATATTAAAATGATCAAAACTCAATTTATTTGCGAATGATGAATAAATGTGTTTTTTAACAAAGGCGAATGCATTTCAGTTTTACAAGACAATGGCTTTTTAATGATATTATTCTACTTTGCTTTTTTAAGCGTTATAATGAAATACTACTTTCCTTCTGGAAAAAAAAAACCTCCCACTTTTTCAAAATTTAACAATTTTTTTTAATTTTCTTCACTGGGATTCAGAAAACACTTAGTAAGGGCGGTTGTTACGGAACATCCTGTCTGTATAAATTACAAATATTTAAACTGATAGAAAACTATTAAGCAATAATCACTGTCAGGAAGGCAAAAATATTTATTTAACTATCTAGAGCATTATGAATTGCTGCAAATTTATACATCAGGGTGGCAACAAGAGAAATCAAAAAATGCTAATAAAAATATGAGTACGTATATCTTTTGTAACATCTAATTGCTTTTCCATCATTTCAATTCTAATAATTTTACAATTCTTAGCATCTTTGCAAATGAACTAACACCTAACAATAGATTCTTCGATAAAAATATGACAGACACTTGCCGTTTGTGAATAAAGGTATTTATGTATTTGATTTATATTATATCGCATGTTTATATTTAATGTTTATGTTATAAGAGGAGAAATTTGAGCATGCAGCAATATGTGGCTCATTCAATGCTTCAAATTTTATCTCTCTAGCTGCGTTGCGTTGGAATGCAAAGCGTTTCGCGTGGTATTTTCTAAAAGTTCGTTGTTCGTAAGAGAAGGATTAGAGAAGGACCTTCCAAGATAATTTAATAAATACTTTGATATTCTCAGACATAATTTAATAAATAGTAGAAGATGGTAGATTACGAAAAATTATTCACTAATTTAAGTATTCTTGAATATTTGCATGAATTTAAGAGAAAAAAAATCATGGATTGTGGATTTAAGTAAAATATTTGATGCATAATTCGTGATGTTCGTGGAAATAGTAAATAATGTGGAAAATATCAATCTCTTAAACACCTAATCGTCGAATGTGACAAATTCCAGACACTCCGAGGAAATCTCTTTCGTAATATGAACGACTTGACTCTTTGGTTCCGATCTAAAGCACAAAAATATGCTATCACTGAGATTATTATACGTACCCTGGTAGATATAATGACACCAGACGATCTCATGGACCCTCTTCATATGAATCAAATTTAGATCTTTGCACCTAATTAACATCTCTCGGGGTTGCATAGCGACCACCTGCTCTGCCACAAATAGCTAAATGCTCTTAATGCTTTCTTTTAATTCTACTCATTTCACTTCATTGCTATTTATTTGTTTTTAACTTTGGAACCCTTTTGGTTCAATGATATTTTATATTTTATATTCTGGAAGCCTGTTGGTTCAATTTCTATGTTTTCAATGTTTTATTACGTTTAAATTGCTTTTGCTTGTCTAATTTACCTTTTGATCCAATGTTTTTAATGTTTACAATCTTTCACTTACCTGTTTACCCTCTTGGATCCAATGTTATATACTGTATTCTTTTTCAGATTGTTGTTGTTAGTAATATTCAAAGATACTTAAGAAATCATGTAATGCTATATCAAATTCGTCTCTATTCAAATCTAAGGCATACAAGTCATTGTCAACTAAAATTATAGGATGTCAACTAAAATTTAGGATAAGCATTAAATATTATTATATTTATTTATTATTCATTTATTTTGTTTTATTATTCATGTTTATCATTGTAAATTCTCATCTTCTTTTGTTTTCAAACTGGAAATTGTATTGTATCCTTTTGTTGATCAATGAATTTTCACCCCGGATGCCCCCGCTAGGGGGCGGGACGGGGCTGAGCTTTGAATATTTGATGCATAACATTTCAATCCATCGAGGAAAAAGTGAATCAGTTAAACTTAAATCTTAAAAAGCTTAAAAATTAAATTCGAATGTGAAAACTGTAAGATTTAAGAGTTCAAAATTTGCAATTTTGCTAATGAAAGCTCATTTTACTTACTGTGACGTTTTCTGGAAATTCATAATTAGTATTGCAGAAATAAAAATTTTCTCTGCAAAAGTCTGTATAATTCATCAGCATTGGTGAACAGAAATCGGAATGCACCCTACAGAATTCCGAAGCTAAGATCCTATATTGAAAATAAAATGTAATTAGAGATTAATAGGATTTAATAATAATGGACCTTCCCGCTACCTCGTTAGGTACACCGTTCAATAGAGTGTGTTTGCAAATTGAATGTGTTGAAGGTTAACCGCTGACATTTCTTTTACCTCGTTGTTCCAAAAGTGATTTGAAAAAAAGTGGATAGAAATGAATGCTTAAGGTAAGTTCAGTTTCGAAAAATATTGTTAATGTATAGGGTCAGAATTTATGTATTATAAGAAAAAAAGTAAAAATTCCTGCGACAGGGCGTTCAGCTCCCCCCCCCCTAAACGTCCTTCATCGGTGCTCCACAACTTCGTAACCAACGACGTGAAGGCAGCAATGTGTTCAACATGGACCACCTTTACTTCCTAGACAAGCTGAAATCTTTCGATTTAAACCAGGAAGAGCTTCAAGCCGCCATCGAAGAACCTCCCTCCATGCATTATAAATACTTGTGTTATTAATATTTGGTTATTCAGAAAGTCAATACATTTTTTTTCTTCCAACAAGAGCTTTAATCATATTTTTTCACAGCCAATTTCCCACTTGAGTCACATCACCATTAAATATTTTTACCGCTAATACAGTAGAGCTTCTTGCTGGTGGAAACTTCGGTTTCATTCTAGGCTGTAGTTTTTGTTGGTGCTTTCAAATACAGGAAGTGGAATGCAGAATTTTGAGTATATTTCACTCTTTCACTACCGAAAAGGTACAAATGCTGTTCAAGTAAGAATAAAAATTATCTGATGTATATGGAGAAAATACGTTGACAGTAAGCCAATGCCAAAACTTGTTTGCAAAATTTTGATTAAGATGCACCTCGCCAGTTTAAGCTGGTAAACACACACTAAAAGCATTAACCGGCGAATACACCCATCTAATTATGTATTTCCTCCACACATCAACTTAAACTCCACCATTTATGTGTTATACCCTAATTGTAATCTGCCTCCTACCACAACTTTATAAAAAAACCATATATTCCTATTTATGTACTGTTTCAGCTCAATAATGGTATTGTCAATAATCATTAAAGTTTTAATACTTAGTAATATTTACAAATTCATTGTGACTAATAGGATTAATAATGTGTAATAAAGCTTAACAGTACTCAATACTGTTATGTGCAATATTAAATAGAATGTTATAATTTGAAATAGTGCCATTTAATAACCATGCTAAATGTGTACTAAATGTCCTTAAGTTCAACTTTATTTTTTTCCAACTGTTTCTACAACAGTGTTTTTCAATGACCTACTATCCATGTTAAATGCGGTCATAATGACTGATTATCTGAAAGTGTTTTATTTTAAGTTATTAGCTATAATAGCTTTAATTTATGTACGATAACCCCATCAACCGTGTTAGCACTGCACTCATCTAAATCCGAAGGTAAGCAATATCCTCAAATCAACGTCCGACCACTGTCCACAGTTTTTAATCGAACCAGCTAATGCCTTCTATGCCCAACCTCTAATTTTGTAAACCCCAATAGACATTTTTGCTGCAGGTATTCACTACTCAATTGAATAAGGCTTCCTAAACCACATCATTCTCATTAAATGTAATTCAATTCTATGTAACTCTACTTTTTTTCTATATGATGTTGTAATCTATCAATTCATTTTTAGTAATTTTTTATCCATAACTGATTAAAGTTTTCTAAACTGTGTCTTAATTTTGTAATTTTTTTTTTATGTACTTATATCTTCCCTTTCAGCAAGCTCAGACAGGCGAGCTTTAGTAAGTTTGTAGGGTTGTACGATTGGGTACTCGGTGCGCACACGTCTTCTGGGTGAAGACAGTGTATTTTAAGTATCCGAGGAGTCTGTGTCCTTTGAACCTCCGGAATGTTGGGGATGCTTCTACGCAGTGGTTATGAAAAGTTGCAAACCCGCTTCGCCGGTCGGCCGGCTACTTGCAGCGATCAAATCGTCGAATAACTCATGAGATCCCTGAGACATTAAATTGATCGAATTCAACTATTTATGATCATTTAAAAAGCCTGAAGCTTAAGCTTAAAGCTCAGCATTAGGGTTACTCATGTTCTTACGGGGAAGGATTTAACGTCTGTAATTTGCTCCACAAATGTCAAGAAAAATGA